CTAAGACAGTGACTTTAATAAACCCCATGAATCTGGCACCAAAGACTCGTCTCCTCTCCTTTTTCCTATCGAGTGTTCCAAACCCAAACATGCACCTGGACCGTCACAGTGAGACCCTGCTTCTTGGTGGACACGGCCTGAGAGTACGCGGTGGATGGACTGTGAGGGATTTGACCAAGGTGGTCACATCTGTGGCGTCACCTGTCCTCTTACGTGGGTCAGGGAAAGGATTCTGGGAGCCGAGGGTCAGCACATTTCATCAGCTTGTTTCAAGTCCCAGGTTCCCCTTTTCTAGCAGAGTTTGCGCTCAGCGTCTGCCAGGGCGAAATCCAGCCCCTTAAACGCCGAGTGTCCACCCGGGTCTCGGTCAGGGGGGCGGGGGCGGGGATGGGGTCGGGGTCCTGCCTCTGTTATCTGTTGAAGGAAAATTCCCCTTCATCGCCTGCTCTGCTGGGGTGTCTCTGGCGGGTCACGGTCGCCCATCCGCCTGGGCACAAGGAGCCACCTGTGAGGAAGAGCAGGTGGCAGCGGCTCCTCCCCGCGGGCCGGCCGGTCAGCGGCCAGCAGGTCACCGCAGCGCGACGTCACGTGACGCCCTCGCGCGTCTCAGCCCCTGGCAGGTGAGCCCCGCGCGGCTGCGCTTGGTGAGCCCCTTCTGAATGGGGCTGTCCTCGGGGTTGTCTCCCACATCTGCTCCGGGGCTGTGCAGACTGTGGAGCGGCCGGCGCTGCCCCGTCCACGCAGTGAGGCCCGGGTCCTCACCGCCCGCTGCCGGCTGTGCTCCCAGGTGGGCTCCCAGGTGGGCATCCCAGGCGTGATGGGGAGCACTCGGCCGGCCAGGAAGCACCCCCCGGGAGAGTCGGGAGCCCCGCATGCTGCCTGCAAGCCCCTCACGTGCCTCAAGGAGACTGGGCGCTTCCTGCCCGCAGAGTCTGTTGTGTCGGGGTGTCCTGGGGGACAGCTGGCGATGCTGCTGCTGGAGGTGACTGCTCGCTCCTGGGCGGCCCCTCTTTAGTGTGAGCATCCCAGGAAGCCGCTGGTAAGAGACAGGGGCTCACTTCATCACTGCTGACGACCCCAGCGCCACCGGGGTCCTGGGGACCTCAGGAGAGAGTCATTTCCTCTCCTCATTGCCGGCTATTATTGAAGTGTTGGTAGCTTACCCTTGGTAGCTTCCTTTTCCCCAGCTTGACAGTATGTCTGGGACTGATCTTGTCATTTTTATGACACAAATTGAGAATCATTCCATGTTTATAGGGATTCTGTTTTTTTTTTTCTCTTTAAAATTCTGTCCTTTCCACATTTTCCCATTGGATTTGTTGGAACTTTACATATGAAGACATTAATCTTCATGTGCTGGATATAATTTTCCCAATTTAAAAAACATTAAAAAACATTGGAAATTTTGTTTATGTTGAGTTTTTGGTGGATTTTTAAATGATTTATAGATCATATGGCTTAACATAAATTTTGGCTTTGGTGGTGTATTCCAAAAAGCATTCCACATCATAGGAACTGAATATTACTCCCTCCTACTTTTTATACTGACTTTACGGCTTTACTTCTTATATTTCTATATTTAATCCATGTGGAATATATGGGAATTTGACATGATGTAAGCTTTCACATCTAATAAATAAGATTTTATATTGAACTGTAATTATGCACAATATTGTCACTGAGGATACCTGTCATTAATTAAGTGTATCTTTCTCCTACTCCATCATTCTTTCTATGAATCTACTCAGGTGCTAACTTACAGGAAAAAGAAAAAGAGAGAGAGCCTCACTTCATTAGAAAAACCAGCGTTTAAAAAAATACATTTTTTTTTCCTTTTACTGTTGTGACAGTTGGTACCCAAGTTTACATTTCCAAATGTTCCTGTTATGACATTCCCTGGTCCCTCTGAATGCAGGCCACGTGGATCTTGAGTCATAGCTAACCTCTGCATTCTCTCCCAGCATTTGACTGCATACATAATGTATATGCTTCTCATTAGGAAAATCCCAGCAATGACGGCGAGATAACTACCATAAACTAAAAACTGGAGAAAACATAGAATTAATTAGACACATAAAATCTGACCATCTAGGTCACTGATAATGTCTAGTGATGCTGTTAATTTGTGTAGATCATGGGGTAACTGAGACCCAGGATGTTAATGGAGGGTCTTCCTTCTCCCATCTCAGACGGCCCAGGCATGAAATATAAGAGAAGCAGGTTAACTGTGGGTTCTGGGGCCAGATTGCATGGGTTCTGATGTAGCTGACATTACCCATAGTGAGAACAACAAATCCTGCTGATTCAGTGTCCATGCTGGGAGCACAGAGCAGCGCTGTGTGAGGTCCCCATGAGTGAACTTCTACAATGAGGTTATCTCATAGCCGCCCCCCACCCGCCTTTTTTCAGATCCAAACATGAACTGTGAAATGGAGATAACTTTATGTTCTTCATGGAACAGGCAAGAGGGGACAAGAGTTCTGCATTGTGAACCCCACCGCACCCCAGTTACAGACTGAAGAAAAATATGCTTACAGGAAATGTGGCAAATTCCTCCTCTCCAACTTAATACTTCCAGAAATTAAATCTAAGTGTTCTAGGTGACTTGAGAACATTGGGTGATATCTGACTTTAGATTCTGTAAATTTAGATTCACAGTAAATTTTAGGAAATTGCAAGCAATAACCAAGCAGAAATACTTTCTTAAAGAGTTACTTCATTTTATTGCCACTTGTTTGCCATTTTCTAAGTTTGGTGTTCTTTGCAAAAGTCAGAGATAGATTGTACAACTGAGTAAATTTGTAATTTAGCTTTAATAATTATAAAGATATTTAAATCTGAGTATAAAACACTATGAAGATTGCCAATTATGGTATTTAGAGTTCTTCCTTGGCAAACAGGTTGAAAGAGTAGGTTCTGAATATCTTGAAATGGAAGGGAATCACATCATTCTACCTTAACAAAATTCTCACATAAAAAGACACTCAAAACACTTGAGTTGATTAAACTGCTACATTTCAGTGAAATAAATAAATATATGGTGTGACTAGAAACCAGACTTTTTGGTGGAGATCCAAATGAGGCATGTGAAGATATTGAAGTATAATGACACACACCCAAATCTTATTCATCCAATTTAAACTTTGGTTATAGTGATAAAAAATTTCAAAACAAGAAATTCAAATATTTCTTATCTCTTTTGGTAAATAAGAAAGCACATTTATCAGTCAGTTCTCTTTTCCCTTGGATGTGGAAGGAAATGTTTTCAGTCATCTGCTCTCTGGGATTAACAGTTTCTTAGAATCTTTGCATCTTTTTTTCCCCAGAATCCTCTTGTCTACCTTTTCTATAATTACATGAGAATATTTTGTTCACAAATATATACGTGCTTGAAATTATTCAAGCAGCCAAGCAAAACGAGGGATGGAATCCAAACCTAATCTTTCAGAATAGGATTGCCGCACCTCATGTTATGGCAAGTTACTGCAAATAAAAAAGTCACAGCCTGACATTACTGCTTTTGGTTCACACACTTACATAACTTAAGTACTTCATGACTAACCATAACAACACCCTTAAAGTTAGTCGCTAATTGAAAAGATGGTTGTGACTGATATGACCTGAACTAGTCAACATTTAATACTGCAGTTCATTAAAATCCTTTGGAACAGCCCTCCCTGGTGGCGCAGCGGGTTAAAGCACTGCACTAAGAAGCTTAAGTCACTTCCGCCTGAGTTCGATTCCCGCCTGCCCCCGAGGTGACCACATGGCGCAGCAGACCTCTCCTGACCCGCCCGCTGCTCCCCTCAGCAGTGTACTTCGTGGATCTGCCTGTTCTGCTCCCCAATCTGTCTCTGGTGAATCCTCTCACCCTCCGCATCTCTGGCCTGTACCCAGATTCTGTGTAAATAAATAAATAAATCTTTAAAAAAAAAATCCTTTGGAAGTTCTCAAAGGACCTATACGAATCAGAAAAGAGAATGTGATTTAGCCTCAGGAGGGGAAGGCGGTGCTGGGATACTTGCCCGCTTATAATTTAACAAGCTCGTAGCTGGACTTGAAGATCAGGTAGCCAGCCAGCGTAGCACACCCAGATGCTAGTGGTCTGATGCATGAGGAACAGAGAGGCTGCGTTGACAACCGAGAAGATGGCCAGCGCCAGCTCCCCCAGGAGATCCCAGCTGACGTTCACATGACCCACTGCCAAGGCGGCCACAGCCCCTGAGAAACAGACACCAGGAGGATCGACCTTACTGAGATGTACACAGGAGGTGCCAACACGCTCCTTTAAACACCCAGGTCGCCGGTAATTCTGGAAGATGAATGTATTATTTTCACAAAAACAGTGTTATCTGCTTAAATATGAATCCCCCATTTTGCAACCATATCTTTTGGCTTTTCTCTTTATTTCCTAGTTTTTCAATCATGGAGTTGCAACATTTTCATCAGCATCAAAGACACTCCAAGCTCTGTGCTAAGCAGAGGGGTCAGCAAGGTTGCTTATCAGGGAAGCAGACCAGGACACCAAGCGCGTCACTGCCGACAAGGCGCTGAGGGCGGGCCAGCGAGGAGGCCAGCTGCTCTGCGCATGCGCCCAGGCCCTCAACGCTGGGCTTGTTTAACTTTTTTTTTCAGCGATAAATCATGTGATTTTAATCTCTTGGTTAATTTTAATTTTATTTAAGTCTCCATCTTAAAGTCTTCAAGGTCTATCCAAATTTTAGTTGAGGTGTTAGGTAAACAACTATCTTGATTTATAGAATTTAAAAGCTTGAATAATTATTGAAGGTCAATAATTAAAGTAGTAATTATAATGGTAATTTTAAATGAAAGCCACTTGTGCTTCACATTACTGACATTTAATTTAATTTTCCATATGTGACTTAGAAAGAACCATTAAAAAACACAGGGGGCCCTCCCTGGTGGCTCAGCAGGTTAAAGCACTGCACTAAGACGCTAAAGCCACTTCCGCATGAGTTCGATCCCCGCCTGCCCCAGAGATGACCACGTGGTGCAGCAGACCTCTCCTGACCCACCCGCTGCTCCCCTCAGCAGTGGACTTTGTAGATCTGGCTGTTCTGCTCCCCACTCTGTCTCTGGTGAAGCCTCTCACCGCCCCTGAGCCTCTGGCCTGTACCCCAGTTCTGTATGCA